AAAAAAAAAAAAAAAAAAAGAATGGCTAAAAAAAAATTCTCTTAACCAAAAATAAATGATAAAAGTAGGATCCCTGAAACAGCTAGAAGGAAGAACTTTGCAAACAAAAAATATGGATAAATGCAATGCACTTTCCCTTTTTAAAAATTTTTTCAAATCATGTTTGACAATTGAAGCAAAATGTAACACTGATATGGTTCTAAATGCATGTCAATGAAATATTTAAAATAATGCTGATGGAAGAAATGAATGACCTAAATAAATGGAGAGATATACTGTGTTTAAGGATAAAAATACATAGTAAAAATATTGGTTTTCCACAAATTTATATACAATTGTAAGGCAATTCCTATTAAAATCCTGGCTAGTCATTTTTTTGTAGATATTGATAAGATTATTCAAAAAACAATATGAAAAGGCAAAAGAAGTGGAATAGTTAAAAAATTATTGCAAAAGAATAATAATACAACAATAATGAGTGTACCTGATTTTAATACTTTTTTATCTAGCTATAGTAGTCAAGACTATGTAATAATAATGGAGCAATCAACACATCGATTAACAGAACAGAGAAACCATAAAGAGATCAACACAAATATGTCCAGCTGAATTTTGACAAAGAAGTAACAACCAATGAAGGAAGAATAGTCTTTTCAACAAAAGGTGCTAGAACAACTAGACATCCATAAGCAATTATAATAATAATTTTGTCATAAACCTTACACCTTACACGTACACAAATTTGTGCAACCTTACACCTTATACAAATTAATTCAAAATGGATCACACACTTAAAGGTAAATTGTACAAGTATAACATTTTGGGGAAAAAATTATAGGAGAAAATGTTTGTGTTCCAGGTCTTGGCAAAGTGTTTTTAGACTTGACAAAAAGCATATCTATAAAGGGAAATATTAATAAATTAGACAAAGTTAAAAACTTTTGCACTGAGAAAAAATTCTATTAAGAGGGTGAAAAGACAAGCTACAGACGGAAACAAGATATTTGTAAACCATGTGTCTGACAAGGAACTAGTATCTATAATATATAAACAACTATCAAAACTCAGTAGTTAAAAAAAAAAAAAGCTAAATCAAACAATAAAGAAAACAGGCACAAATGAGTGAACAAATAGTTCACCAAAGCAAGTAAATAGCAAATAAGCATATGAAATTATGTTCAATATAATTAGCCATAGGGGACACGCAAATTAAAACAACAATGAGACATTATTACATGCCTATCAGAGTGGCTGACATTGAAACAGAAAGTGACAGCAGTAGCTACTGGCAAAGATAATGAGATATTTGATCACTCATACGCTGCTGGTGGAGTTATGAAATGGTGTAGTCACTCTACAAAACGATTTGGAAGTTTCTTTCAAAAATAAACATGCAACTGTTATACAACCCAGCAATTTCAGTCGCATGCATTTATAACAGAAAAATGAAAACTTATGTTCATCCAAAATCTTTATACAGTGTTCACAGTAGCTTATTTGTTTGTAATAGCCAAAATTTGAAAATAATTCAGATGTCCTTTCACTAGGTGCATAATAGGTAAACAGACTGATGCACACCTATCACAGACTGCTATTAAGCAATAAAAAGGAACAAATTATTGATAAACACAACAACCTACAGGAATCTCCAGAGAATTACCTGGAGTATAAAAAAGCCAATCCTGGACATAGAAAATGTAGTACATTTATACCATGAAATACTATGCAGACATTAAAAAGAATGAAATCATGTCCTCTGCAGCAACATGGATGGAGCTGGAGGCCACAATATTAAGTGAACTAACTCAGAATCATAAAATCAAATATCACATATTCTCACTTATAAGTGAGAGCTAAACAATGGATATGCATAAACATAAAAATGAAAATAATAGACCCTGGGGCCTCCAAATGGAAGAGGGTGAAAAGCGGATGAAGGCTGAAAAATTTTCTATTGGGCACAATGTTCAGTATTGGGGTGGTAAGTGTACTAGAAATACAATCCCCACCAGTATGCAATATAGCCATTGATATGATTTGGCTGTGTCCCCACCAAATCTCATCTTCAATTGTAAGCCCGATAATCCCCACGTGTTTAGGGAGGGACATGGTGGGAGGTGACTGGATAATGAGGGTGGTTTCCCCCCATGCTGTTCTTGTGATGGTGAGTCAGTTTTTATGAGATCTGGTGGTTTTATAAAGGGCTCTGCCCTTTCACTCCTCATTTTCTCTCTCCTGCATCCATGTGAGGAAGCTTCTTGCTTTCCTTTCGCCTTCCACCATGATTGTAAGTTTCCTGAGGCCTCCCCAGCCATGTGGAACTGTGAGTCAATTAAGCCTCTTTCTTTTATAAATTAGCCAGTCTTGGGTAGTTCGTTATAGCAGTGTGAGAATCAACTAATATACGCATGTAACAACAAAAACAAAAAGAAATAAAATGGATATTTTTAAATAATTTTAAAAAGAAAAAGTCAATATCAAAAGTTTAAATACTCTATGAAACCAGTTATAAGATATTCTTAAAATGATAAAGTTATAGAAATGGAGAACAGATTAGTTCTTATTAGAAATTAAGAAGAAAGTGGGGACAAGAAGGGAGTGGGGACAGATGGGAAGTGGGTATGGCCTTAAAAGTGCAACACAAGGGATTTTTGTGGTACTGGAGATGTTCTTTATTTTGGCTGCATCAATGCCAATATACTGGTTTTTATATTGTAGTATAGTTTTGCAAGATATTAACAGAGAAACTGAAAAACGAGTGCATGGATTCATTGCATGTAAATGTACACGTATTTCAAAATTAAAAGCTTACTTAAAAAATACATATATGTAACACTTTCCATAATAAAACCCTGATAACAATCTCTAACAAAAAGCAATGAATAGGAAAATTATAAACCCATCGTATTCATGAATATAGATATAAAATCTAGGTTAAAATACCATCAAATCTAATTCAAAAGAACATTAAGGTCATTCTTTCTCATCTTAGCAAAGGATTTATTTTATGACTATGAAGAGTTTGATATTAGGATATTTAGTAAGCAAGATCATAAAATTAATAAGTTTTAAAATGTTATTATCCAAGCAATTTCCAAGTAGGCATTTAACAAAATCCAACATCTATTACTTACTTCAAAAATAAGATATGGCAGAGACTGTTACTAGTCATCAAACATTTATGTGCTCCTTAATCTTTCTCAATCCAATGAATCTAAGTGGTCTAGACATATGACTAATTATTACCAATTAAACGTTGGAAGAAGGAAGAACAGTTGTGCTCTCTTCACATTCAACCTCGTGTAGGTGGTTGAAAGAAAAAAAAAAATAGAGCTGGTGGAGTTAGAATTTGGAAGCAGCCTGGATCCCTGGAACACTATTTGGGAAGAGAAACTGATAGTAGTGTGACCTATTACATACTATGATATGAGCAAGGGATAAATCTTTGTTGTATTAAACCATAGAGATTTTACAGTGCTTTTGTTATTGCAGCATAGCCTGTGTTACGCCCAACTAATATAACTGATACAAATCTTCTGAGTCAAAAGACAGAATCATGTTTAATACTTTCCAAACCAAAATTCCATAGAACAATCACTGTGATCTTTGGAAAAATGGTGTCCTGCATACCTGATCTCTCATTTAATAACTTTCAGCACACATTTGCATGTTGAAGGCTCTGAGAAGTCCTGTAGAAAAAAATCTGCGTCTTCGTTGAATTTAACATTTCACAAACATATTTCACAATTTAATCTTTTAAATAATGAAACATCTCTTGACCAATGAATTTGTATTCTACAGAACAAATTGAAGATAATAAGGCACTTGCACTTGCTTTGGCAGCATATACACTAAAACTGGAATGATACAGAGAAATTTGCATTTCCCCTGCACAAGGTTGTTACACAAATTTGTGAAGCATTCCATAGTTTTTAAATGAAAGAAAAGAAAAAATAGATTAAAAAAAAAGAAAACACGGCACTGGAACTGTTTTTAAGAGATTCAAAAAACAGACCAAAATAGCCACAGATTTGCTAAGGTTTATATCCAAAGTCTTTTATCATAGCTTTATTTATGGTATGAAACAAACAATAGATAAATGCATATCTCTAGGTAGAGGTATATTTAAGCAATAAATATAAAATAAATTAAAAATGTTTTCAAATAGCATTGAATTCCTGAAAATGCATATATTTTTGAACTAAGGAAGTGGGATACAAAAGTATATGTATAGTATAGGCCGGGTTAATATACACACATGCTCTCGCCCAGACAATGAAGTACACCAAAATATTAGTAGTAGTTATCTCTGGAGGCTGGAATCATAGGTAGTATTTCATTTTATTCTTTATACTTTTTAAATATTTTAATCAGAAATACTAAACATTATTTTTAAAAAATACAGAAATAGAACAGCTTCTTTCTTACAAAATGTCTGCTTTGTCCTTCAGCCAGCACCTTATTATAAATAATAATGCTTATAGAGGAGGAATAATCTCTTTTCAGCATGAAACATCTCATATTCATGCAAAAATAATCTGAATACTTATTATTTTTAATAAGAAAAATGTGCTCAAGTTGAACAGTTTTTGTCAAATACTTGATGTGAGTATGTAAAGGAGAACTTGACTTTGTAAAAACTATACTATACAACAAAATGTAACAATCGCTGTTAAGATTTGGAGAGGAACAGGAAAAGGGAGTCTGGGAGCTAGCAGCCAGAAGAGTGTTCTGAAGCTCAGCAAGTTCATCCCTACGAGTTTGGCCTAGAAGCACGCGGCAGTGTGGTCCGATAGAGTCCCATCATCACCACCAACACCATCATTAACACACACACGGACACATGCACACACACCTTCACACTTCACAATGCAAGTTTCTTAAAAAGCCCTTTTGTGTTTTTTTTGTTTTTTTTTTTTGCTCTATGTCTTCCTTAAAGTTTGCAGCTGCCGATTTCCTCCTTCCTGGATTTTCTCTATCTAAAATTCCTCTGTTAAAATAAATATCCAAGAGCACTTTCACTGCATCATTTCCAAGACAAATTTATGGCCAGTGGTAGAATCACTAGGAGTTAACTCACTGACAATTTTATCATCTTCGTGGTAGTCAACTTCCAGGCATATTTCAATATAAAAGCCACTTTGTGGATATATGCTGCCCCTTCAGTAATATCTTTACCATAGCCTCCAGATCATTGTTTTCTGTTTCATCTTCTGTTTTCTTCAGTTCTGCCTTTATTTTTATTTGAACTTTGCAACTCTGATATGTAACATCATAAATTGTTTTGAAATATATATTGCCTCAAAGACTTAACAATAAACTTGTTCCTCCACATGGAATTAGACAGTTCAATGAAGTAAACATACCATTCCCATTTTATTCTCTCTTTCACATATATTCAGTTTTCAAAGTTATAAATTGGTGCTTTCAAGATATAACATTGTACCCTCTTTTAGTGATATTTTTAGTTTGCCTTCTAAAAGAAAAAAATAGATATATTACAGCATGTGCTTACATTTCAAACTTTTAAAGGGATTTTCTATAATAAATACATGGGAAATAGTTATAGTCAATTCATTGGATCATAATATAGTATAGAAGAGGGGAAATGTAGCTTTGTTGTCAGCTCTGGGTTCCAGTTTCAGCTCTACTTAATATTTTGAATAACTCCCTTTCATCATTTACCCGCCCTAAGTCTCTATTTACTTTTCTGCAATGAAAGTATAAAAGTGGTTGTCTCATGGGTTATAATGATGAATAAATGACATCAATTAAATGTACTATATAACAGTTTATCATTGTTAAAGTTTTTCCCAATTATTTTGATTCTATATGATCTACTATCACTAAAAAAATACTATTCTGTTGTGCCTCAAAGAATCCAATGGAAGTCTACATAGCATAGTAAAAAAAATTTGCCTCCATAGACAAGTTGTAAAAAAAATACATTTTTAAATTTTAAATAGCCCATTGACCTTTCTAAATCCTAGACTGGAGGAGGCCATTTCCATTTTTTAAAGGTCACTTATGACATTGCCAGTATGTGGTTGGTAAAGCTTTTTTTTTTTTACTGTAAGCTCTGAAATACAAGTGCAGAATGTGTAGGTTTATTACATAGGTATATGCGTGCTATGGTGGTTTGCTGCACCTATCAATCCATCATCTAATTTTAAGCCCTGCATACATTAGCTATTTATTTTAATGCTCTCCCTTCCTTCTTCCCCCAACCCCTGACTGGCCCCAGTGTGTACTGTTCCCCTCCCTGTGTCCATGTGTTCTCATTGTTCAAGTTGCTCTTATGAATGAGAACATGCAGTGCTTAGTTTTCTGTTCCTATGTTTGCTGAAGATGATGGCTTCCACCTTCATCCATGTCCCTGCAAAGGACATGATCTCATTACTCTTTATGGCTGCGTAGTATTCCATTGTGTACATGTACCATATTTTCTTTATCCAGTCTATCGCTGATGGGCATTTGGGTTGGTTTCATGTCTTTGCCATTATAAATAGTGCTACAATAAACATATGTGTGCATATATCTTTATAGTAGAATGATTTGTATTCCTCTGGGTATATACCCAGAAATGGGATTGCTGGGTCAAATGGTATTTCTGGTTTTAGATCCTTGAGGAATCACCACATTGTTTTCCGCAATGGTTGAACTAATTTACATTCCCACCAACAGTTTAAAAGCATTCCTATTTCAGCACAGCCTCTCCAGCATCTATTGATTCCCAGCCTTTTAATAATCACCATTCTGACCGGTGTGAGATGTTATTTCATTGTGGTTTTGATTTGCATTTATCTAATGATCAGTGACGTTGAACTTTTTTTCATATATTTGTTGGCTGCATAAATGTCTTCTTTTGAGAAGTATCTGTTCATATCCTTTGCCCACTTTTTGATGGGGTTGTTTGTTTTTTGTAAATTTGTTTAAGTTCCTTGTAGATTCTGGTTATTAGACCTTTGTCAGATGGGTAGATTACAAAAATTTTCTTCCATTCTGTAGGTTGCCTGTTCACTCTGATGATAGCTTCTTTTGCTGTGTAGAAGCTCTTTAGTTTAATTAGATCCTATTTGCCAATTTTGGCTTCTGTTGCAATTGCTTTTGGTGTTTTCATCATGAAGTCTGTGCCCATGCCTATGTCCTGAATGGTATTGCATAGGTTTTCTTCTAAGGTTTTTATGCTTTTGGATTTTACATTTAATTCTTTAATCCATCTTGAGTTAATTTTTGTATAAGGTATAAGAAAGAGGTCCAGTTTCAGTTTTCTGCCTACGGCTAGCCAGTTTTCCCAGAACCATTTATTAAATAAGAAATCCTTTCTTTGTTGCTTATTTTTGTCAGGTTTGTCTAAGACCAGATGGTGGTAGATGTGTGATGTTATTTCTGAGGTCTCTGTTCTGTTCCATTGGTCTATATCTCTGTTTTGGTACCAGTACCATGCTGTTTTGGTTACTGTGTCCTTGTAGTATTATGCCATATAGCACAATGCCTCCAGCTTTGTTCTTTTTGCTTAGGATTATCTTGGCTATACAGACTCTTTTTTTGGTTCTATATGAAATTTAAAGTAATTTTTTCTCATTTTGTGAAGAATGTCAATGGTAGTTTGCTGGGAATAGCATTACATCTACAAATTTCTTTGGGCAGTATGGCCATTTCACAATATTGATACCTTCTATCTATGAGGATGGAATGTATTTCCCTAACAATGGTTTGTAGTTCTCCCTGAAGAGGTCTTTCACTTCCCTTGTTAGCTGTATTCCTTGGTGTTTTGTTCTCTTTGTAGCAACTGTGAATGGGAGTTCATTCATGATTTGGCTCTCTGCTTGTCTTTTGTTGGTCTCTAGGAATGTTTGTGATTTTTGCACACTGATTTAGTATCCTGAGACTTTCCTGAAGTTGCTTATCAGTTTAAGGAGTTTGGGAGCTGAGATGATAGGGTTTTCTAAGTGTAGAATCATGTCACCTTCAAACAGACAATTTGACTTCCTCTCTTTCTATTTAAATACTTTTTATTTCTTTCTCTTGCCTGACTGCCCCACCCAGAACTTCTAATACTATGATTAATACAAATAAAAGAGGCATTCTTGTCTTGTGCCAGTTTTCAAGGGGAATGCTTCCAGCTTTTGCCCATTCAGAATGATATTGGCTATGGATTTGTCATAAACAGCTCTTATTATTTTGAGGTATGTTCTATCAACATCTCGCTTATCAAGACTTTCTAACATGAAGGGATGTTGAATTTTATCAAAGACCTTTTCTCCATCTATTGAGATAATCATGTGGTTTTAATCATTGGTTCTGTTTATGTGATGGATGACATTTATTGATTTGCATATGTTGAACCAACCTTGCATCCCAAGGATGAAGCCAACTTGATCATAGTGGATAAGATTTTTGATGTGCTGCTAGATTCAGTTTGCCAGTATTTTGTTGAATATTTTTACATTGATGTTCATCATGAATATTAGCTTGAAGTTTTATTTTTTTTGTTGTGTCTCTGCCAGGTTTTGGTATCAGGATGAGGTTGGTCTCATAAAATAAGTTAGAGAGGAGTCCCTTCTTTTCAGTTGTTTGGAATACTTTCAGAAATAATGGTACCAGCTCCTCTTTCTACCTCTAGCAGGATTTGTCTGTGAATCTGTCTGATCCTGAACTTTCTTTAGTTGGTAGGCTATTACCACCTCAATTTAAGAACTTGTTGTTGGTCTATTCTAGGATTTAACTTCTTGGTTCAATTGTGAGAGGGTGTGTGTCCAGAAATTTATCTATTTCTTTTAAATTTTCTAGTTTATTTGCATAGAGGTGTTTATAGTACTCTCTGATGGTAGTCTATATTTCTGTGAGGTCAGTGGTAATACCCTTTAATCATTTTTATTGTATCTATTTGATTCTTCTCTTTTCTTCTTTATTTGTCTAGCTAGCAGTCT